TCATGAGGTTTCGGATCAATCTATCTTGGCGTGGTTAGAATAACAAAGACCCTATTTTTATGCACAATTGCGGAGATAGCACATATTATAATCTTCAACGAATGATGAAAAACTAATGCATTGGCGAAGTGCATACAATTAAAAAACTGACTTTCTTGATTATCTAGTGTTGGAGAAAGTGCGCTTAGCTGTTGGAAAGGCGAAGCTGTTACTCAGCAAAAAGTTTAGAACCTTCGAAGAGCTGATTGAAAGAAATCTGGTAAGCTTTTTCGAAATTACCATAGAATTATGCGCTGTTTATAATAATACTTATTTTAAATGAAAGCTGTATTTTAGAAACCGGGTTCAGAAGATGAACAGATACCTAACGAAGCCGACCTTGATGGCTACTGGAAGTTAGTCAGCATCGAAATATGTGATATAGATAAATGCTTTAATTCACTGACCAACCTGAAGTCTAGCCAGTGGGCTGCATCCGAAGGGGAAGAGGATACAGCGGTACTAGCTAAAAATCACAGAAAGTTTTTTTCGGTGCTTGTTTATGACTTTCGGTCACTTCAGGGAATTTCTCCAGATACAGTGGCTGAATCGATATCACCACCTTCAACTAAAAAGGTAACAAAGAAAAGGGCAGTGACGACAAAGCCCGGAGCAAAAGTGTCAGCTAAGGTTGCAGAGGAAGCACGACAGCGTCTAAAGGAGGCAAAATTGTCCGCAATGGAAAAACAGCGGAAGCTGAATTTGGTAGCCGGCGATAACTCAGCGAACGATGTACAAATATTCGTTTCATGAGAAAAAGGCATCCATATGTTGTCAACGTATTTACTTTTAAAAACGGTGCTGTTTGCGTTGTTAAATTCTGTTTTGGATGCTACCGCTGAGAGTATTTCAATAAAAGTTTTATTCGTTTATATTCCACACGTAGCATTTGTGCACATTACGCGACACTACTGGCGTTGGCAGCAATTCGAGGCCACAGATCAGCACACTCTTTGGCCACGGGTCCCGTAATGGCCGAACCTAAAACCGTTCATCAAACAGCGAAGCAAGTAGTTTTAATTTTGCCCACAATGAATATTTTTATACACAAACTTCAAAGGGAAGACGATATAAAATGAACAGTTTCGTGCGCTACTCAATATGCGAAAAAATAACATTTGCTCTGATGATGACCGATATTTTACTGAAACATTGACAGTAAAATAAACTCCAACATAAATGCTGCGTGTTTTTTATACTAGCTGTCTTATCACTAATACAATCGAAGACTATTCATACGAGCTTCTAAGATCATAATCAACTGCTATAAAGTGGAAACATGGACATGTGAACTTTGGGTGACATTTCCTCTTACTCCAGCGATGCACCATTCCTTGGTCATCTTCTGGACCAACATTAAGGATTTTTCATGCACAAAATCATGACAAATGTCTGACATTCGGATATTACGTAGGAAGTACAAAGTTTGTCAATCGTGAGAGTCTGAAACCTTCACCAATAACTAAAACTACTCAGATGAGTTGGGAATATCTCTTGTGAGACAAGAATACGGTCGTCGGATCTATTGTTTCATAAGTTCAACAGTTAGTCACTCATGTTAAGAAAGAAGTCTAATTGGACAGCCACTCGCTCATAAAAACGGTACTAAACATAAACGTGTCGTGATAAAATTCGAAGGAATCAACTTATGCGAGATTTATGTATCTAATTAGGAAGCACCCAACGCTTGTTTTTCAGCAACGGTCCAAACTGTCGATTTCCTGAGATATAATCTTAATATGAAAAAATGTGTCACTGCTAGGATGTTAATTTACCTAATACTTGGAAGATATGCGCCACTTGTGGAAATCATTCATAATGAAGGTGTATTCTACGCATTGACTTACGCTGCGATCTCATCTATTTTGAAATCGCCATCTGTGAATGCTCTTCTTATTAAAGGTTTTGAATACAGTTTGGTAATGACTAGCTACAAGGCGCAATCGCTTGTTTCCTTTCACTAGGATGGACCTGTCTGTCAATACTGCGAAGATGTACGATGTGTGACAAGACTCGGCAGGGATTCAAACACGTTATCTCAGATCTGTGAATTTAATACTATATAGACTGAATTACCCTGCAAAAACTTTTAAAAGCAGCGACTTCCCCTCAAATGTAAACTTCGAATGACACCGTTGTACACAGCATATGCGCAATTATTATTCGTCTGAATAAATGTGGAGTTGATTCAGAACAAAAATAAGGTTGGTGTGCATCACTCGGAAGCGTCCACTTGTGATCCAAACCAGCTCTAAAGACCACGGGAAATTCGTTCATTTTTAATGTGCAACTACCCTCTAGCTGAGGGCACAGCAGCCCCAGGGGAGGGGTATTCCAACAGCGCATGTCTAACGAGTTGGATTCCAAGGCACGAAAATGCTAGCGTTTCAACACGCACAAGTCCTATGTCTTCATTCCTGTCTCCATGCCGTTCTTATGTTCTCTCTTTTGGCATCTTCACAACATG